CTCACAAGATATCCTAAGGAAATCATCCAGATTTAAGGAAAGGTCACATGCCCCCCAGAAAGGCAGTAAAAAAAATCAGTGCCAAGCTTGCATCCTGCCTCTTGGAAGTATACCCCAAAAAGACAGTGCCAGATACTACTAAAGCAGTGAAGAAAGACCTCTTCCCCAGATAAAAAAAGAAACCATGAGGCAGGAAAAAATTCAAACACAATACAAATAATTAAATCACAACAGTAGCTGTTGCTTGTTGAAGCTGAATAGGGAAAATTATCCCATCAATAAATACAGGATTAAATGTCACCAAGCACAGAATTAACCTTCACCAAAAACCAGTTTTAGACCAAAACTCAGAAAGGGTATGTAAACTCACATTTGAATGTCAATCTTTCTAGCTAGCCAAGAAGCCTTGCTGAATGTCACTCATCTTGGTTCCCTGTCACTAAAAGCTTTGCTTCATTATTCAATTATTTCTTCAAAGTACTGATTGTCCAGGGAAGTATTTCCTCCCAACAGCAGTGTAAAAATCTTAAAACAACCCTTCCCCTTTAAGAAAGCCAAGCCTCAGAAGCTCCGGAGACAGGAAGTCTAGGCGTTCTGGCAAGAATGTAATAATGGTAGAAAAAAACGAAAGGAGATTGCTTCTAACTACCGGTTCTCTGAACTGCTTAGAAAGTTAACAAGGGGTTCTATAGAACTGGACAGAACCGGTAGAATCCCACCCCCAGGGCTGAGGTCTCAGAGATCACCTGAGTTATTCAGGTTCTCCTCAGAGCTATCACATATGACCTCTTCTGAGATCCACAAACAACTTCTGCACATCAAACAGCAAAATTTATTGGAGGTGGAATGGAAGACTTAATTCTGACAAACCCTTGAAGACTGACTGATTGGATCCAGTACTAGCCTCCTTATTCAGTTACATTGTCTCCAGATTTCTAAGGACTAAAGAGCTAGAAACAGTTCAGCTAATATCTGTCCAAGTAGCCTTCTATGTATTCTCTACACTAGTTGCTGACTGACTGACATGCTGATCCAGTCATAAATCCAAACTCAATAATCCTGTTATTGAGTATATATGGTTGCTTACCCCAACCTCAGCAAGAAGTTCAGTAGGTAAAATTGCTTGGAGTTTTTTACTTCATCAGTTTGGATCAATCCATCCAATGTCTTATTATTGAGAACTGATTGGGATGTTGAACCAGATAGATTTCTTATGCTTATTCGGTTAATTATATTGGGCATTTGCTAAATTAAAGGGAAAATAAAATAGATCAGACTAGATCTGTATCAATTCCAAAACTACATGGTATTACTGAAATGCATGTAAGGGTTTTTGAGTATGGCTTATTACCCGAATAATAATTTTAAGGTTGTAGTAATGAGACCATAAAAATTTCATGGTTCATTTAATCCCTTCATATTGGAAACTAACCTTGCCTTCCAAATAAGTCCATAAAATTATAATTTTCTTGTTTACAAACATTATAAAAATCATTTGTGGGGCATTAAAAACCTGGAAAATAAATGAGGTTTCATTTATATTTTTAGAAAAGTGCTGTTTTGTTGGCATTGATGTGTGGGAGTGGCTATTTATTTATTTGGACTTTAATTGGGAAACAAAGAAAAATGTGTTCTAGGCTTTGATGGAAATGTCTTAACGCTTGTCAGGGGATGGAATTCAAACTGTGGAAGTCTGGGAATGATTTCCTGCTTGAACAACAATTCAGGATCCTCCTTTCATCTCTTTCATTCTGTAGACCTGAATCGAAACTCTGTAACCAAAAGAAAATGTGTTGTAGTTCCTAGGTCAGAGAAAAGAAACAACTGGGTAAAAGGTTCCTGTTTATTAAAAGTAATTTGCAATACCTGCTTGTTTGTCCTGAGAAACAGATTCTCATATACTGCGGTAAAATTTATCACGTTATTGCTTGAGAGCATTTGCGTGTGCATTTGGTGAGTACAGGTAGTCTTTGACTTACGACAGTTCATGTTGTGCCTGTCCGAAGTTAAAATGGCATTGAGGAAAGTGGCTTATGACTTTTTCACGCTTACAACTATTGCAGCATCCCCATTTGTCACGTGATCAAAATTGAGATGCTTGGCACCTGACTCATATTTATGATGGTTGCAATGTCTCGGAGTCATGTGGTCCCCTTTTGCAACCTTCTGAACAAACAAAGTCAATGAGGAAGCCAGATTCACTTAACAACCATATTACTAACTTAACTGCAGTGGATCACTTAACAACTGTAGCAATAAAAGTTGTAAAATGGAGCAAAACTCACTTAACAAATGTCTCATTTAGCCACAAAAATTTAGGACTCAATTGTGGTTATAAATCAAGGACTACAAGAACATAAAGAAGGGAAAAGTAATTCAGAAATATGAGACAGCTGTAGTCAAGCATTTCTGCTTTGTAAAATGCTATTATTCTCCTAGAATGTTGTGCTCTGTCTTTTCCACATGTTGTTCATCTAGAACCCAGATTTCCAAGAGCAAAATAACGTAATTACTTAACGTATACTGTATATTAGCCCTTAGAGTGGCTATTTTATTATAGCATTCCAATTATATCAATTATAATTTAGAGTCCATTCTGGCTTATTTTAGGTTAAGTGATGGAAAATGTAACTGAAATTCCAAGCATGCCAGAATGCAAAGGACCTGAATTCTGACTCCTTACAATTCCAAGTGTTCCACCCACCATATAATTTGCAATATTTAGCAGTAGTTAAGAGCCTATGATTTCTAACATATTTTATGTCCCACTTTATTGTTTCTGTCCTTTAATTTTTTCCTCTCATTATTTTTAACTTACATTTTTTCTGCTCATAAATATTTTTAATATGAATATCATGGTTGCTTATAATTGTCATAGATGCCCAAATTTATCTCAGTTGAATATATTTTGGCCATCTGAAATGATTGGGACAAGAGCAGTTAAGAGTCATATACTGTGAAGACAATTTATACTTTCTTCATCCCACCATTTCCTCTCTTTAGACGCTGATCTGGAAGTCATTTTAAACAAGCACTCACTAGGGGTTAGTAGTTGTATTTGTGAACTACAACTACTACTACGTGAAACTTGGCTTTATGCCAGTAACTGTGAGAGTCCTGGTGGACAATCACTTGAATATGAACCAACAGTGTGCAGCAGCATCCAAAACAATGGAACACAGTCCTAGGATGCATAAATAGAGGGATGGAATCAAGTTCATGTGAAGTTTTAGTAACGCTTTACAAAGCCTTAGTAAGACTACACTTGGAATACTGCATCCAGTTCTGGTCACCACTATGCAGAAGAAATGTTGAGACTCTGTAAAGAGTGCAGAGAAGAGAAACAAAAATGATGAGGGGGCTGGAAGCCAAAACATATAAACATATAAAGAACGGTCACAGGCATTGGGTATTGTTGAGGTAATTCCCCATTAGGAGAATGAGCGCACACAGGGAGACGTATTTGAGAGTAGCGTTTGAATAATACACACACAGCACACAGATACACTGTACAGTAAATGTTGGCTTTTACTTCCAGAAACTTTTAAGCAAAGTTCAAGATAAGCAGTCCAAAGTCATTCACAGGTTAAATCAGTCAGTTTTCAGTCCAGGGATAATCCAATAACAAAGTCCAGTGTCAAAAAGAGTTCAGTAGCAGACTTACATCAAATCCAGGAATAACAGTCAATACAGAAACGGCAAAACTCTCCAACAGAAGGAAACAGAGAGACTCACTGAGACACACTCTCTTCTGAGACTAAGACTAAACAACCCAGGTTTCTGGCTCCATCTTATCACTGTTTGAGAAACCACACCTAATTATAACTTCACATTTTCTTAAAGATACAGTTTTAAAATGTTTATCCTGGTTTATATATTTTCAACCCAAATACCTGTTAGGTAACTTACATTCCTAACAGGTATGTCTAGTCTAATGAAAAGAAGGACTAGAGGGGACATGATAGCACTGTTCCAATATTTTGAGGGGGTCCTTCAAAGATGAGGAAATCAAACTATTTTCCAAAGCACCAAAAGGGAAGTTGAGAAACAATGAATGGAAACTAACCAAGGAGAGAAGCAGCTTAGAACTAAGGAGAAAACAATCAACCAATGGAATAGCTTGCCTTCATAAGTTGTGGGTGCTCCATCATTGGAGACTTTCAAAAAGAGACCAAGCAACCATTTGCCTGAAATAGTATAGGGTTTCCTGCTTGAGTAAGGGGGCTGGACTAGAAGAACTCCAAGGTCCCTTCCAACTCTATTATTCTATGTTGTAGCTGTCATGATTTTCTAGCTTTGCAAATGAATCATCATCTAGGACTAGGTAAACAAACTCTGTTGTGTGGAATACAGCAAAAAAAGTGGGAATTATCTCTCTCCTTACCTGCTATTCTCTAGGAATACAGTTGCTAGGAATACAGTTGCCATAGCATACTTATTGACCATGTATCTTAAACCTCTCATAGGCACAATGTAATAAAACTTCCCTCCTTAATTACATAACTGTCAGAGTGTTTGCAGCACACAAGTAAATAATTCTGTAGGATTCATTTACATAAGAAACTTCTTTAAATAAAATACCATGCAGCAGAAGTCAGCATAAAAATTCAGGAACACAGAAGCACTATTCAAAGAAGCAAGATATATGT